GGCTTTCTTTAAATTTATTTTGAGAGAATACTGCTAAACTAACATTGTGAAAAAGAATTCTATAAGTATCGATGACTCTTTGCCGATTTTTTAGTTAATTGTTCATGCAAATGATTGCTTGAGTATTGCATTACTACAGCGTTAGGCAGTCATGCTAAGTTTTAAAAAGTACATCGAAATAAATTCTCATTTTCATTTTCGTCATCTTGAAATGATTCAGAAGTTCCAACTCTCTCATAAACATCTATGTCCTTGTTTAAAACACACAATGCAAACCTTTATATCAAACTGCTCTTCTTCAAAACTGAAATTATTTTTTAATTAAAGCTAATCTGTAATACCGTAAAAGTTATTGACCTATATGAAACGAATTAGCACCATTATTAGAGTAAAAAGATCCATTTCTCGTTGAGAATATCTCTTTTCGAAGAAATTGATATTCTAAATTTTCCCATTTCTAAGTTAATAAATTTTCATCACTTAACATAATTTTCGAACTTCATAATTTTGCAGTTTTTTTTCTGTGAGGGAATATTCTTTTTTGGTATATAAATATTGACTATGTGTTCATTTTAATTGTTCCACTTAACAGTAATAAACTTACAATTTTGCTATCTAAAAAGCGAGGCAAATCTAATTGATAAAAAAAGTGATAAGCTCAGAATGATTTTAGTAAATAGAAAGATGTCAAATGAATAAATAATGGTGATTAGTTGTCGTAAAATTTCATCTTCAAATAATCGACATGCGATATATCCGGCATGAGTTGCTGCTATTCATTAATTGCTTCTACAGCATCCGAAACAATTGTGAAATGGAAATTACGAAAAATTCAAGTTTTAAAATATTGGCATAATTTAAAACAACAAATGTTATTCATAAATAAAATGGAAGTGAAATGTTTATTTCTAATTATTCGTCTAATAAAGTTTTTAAAGAAGTAACGATATTATCAAGAATTTGGCCTTGTATGATTTAGAAATTGATTTGCTAAACATATAAAATTTAAAGTATTTATGATTAATAAGAGAAAATAGCAGAATAGGTTTTATGCTTTTTTCCGTACTCAGTTACTGCCCTAATCCTTAATTTTATTTCTTTATGTGGAGCAGCAAATTCAATTTCTAACTGAAATTTAAAATAAGACTTTATTCATTTAATGAACCATCTCATTTTCTCTATTTACATTTGATGAATTGCCTCTGCGTCTTCCGAATCATCTTTCGAAGGTACATCAATGAGCATTGTTATAAAATTTCAAGATTTTAAGATTTCGAAGTTAAGAATAAAAATTAAATTAGAATAGTAAATCTTGAACATTCAATAGGCCACTAATGGTTATAACAGTAACCCATTTATATACAGTACTGTCTGATTCTATTTATAAGTAAAAAAAGGAAAGGAAAACATTTTTAGAATTATTCTGAAATGTTCATTTGTTATTCATTTTGTTTTTGACAAATTAGAAATTGACTCTGCACAAAAATTCAAACATAGTTATAATCATAATATGGCTATAATCGTATTTTTTACTATATAGATGAAGGCCAACCACGAAGAACAAAAAGAAATTAATGCTGTAAGTGATTCTGAGTGATATTTAAAAGTGAAAAATTCCCTGCTTTTTTATTGAAAAATCCTGAAAAAATTACCGGAATACAACCATAACATAAATATTGCTGCGGTCTGATAATGACGTTAAGTTATTTCACTTGATAATGATTTCAGTTGCATGCAAAATTTTAAAAAATTAAGAAGTAAACATTCAAATTTTGAATCTTAGCCGAATGAGTAAGGCAAATACAGGACTATTTGTAGTTAGGAAGTGGCCTTACATATAATCAAAGTGTTGAGACGGAAAACGGAAGCAACGCGCTAATGGATGCAACTAATCTCTTTTGTTCCCTTAAGTAAATTCAATTTGTTGATGAAGCATTGTTTCTAGTAAGTTATTCGCAAAAGCCATCCATCTCTTTTCGCATCCACAGAGAAACAGAGAAAGTTTCTCAAGCCAAAATCCAAAACTGCTGCTTTAGTACACATTTTTGGCTAAGAAAAAAGTTTAAGTAAAGACCAAATATGGAAGGTAACTCAGGCACTTTACAACGAAAGTATTCCTCTCTTTTATTTTCTAATCTGAAGCATAAACTATCACTGGGCACATTTATTGACAGCTTTCAATTTTATTGCACCCTTCCCATTCTCCTACTCCATTTGCTATAACCAATTTGGCCAGTTATTGAGAGTTTGTAAAGAGCCGATTTTGTGATAATAAGATAGCTACTAGCATTGTTGCTTGAAAGTGATATTTGCAAAATCATGTTGACAATAAAATTCCTGAATGAATGCAAATTTTGAAATAACAAACTTCGAAATCAGAGCTCTCATTAATGAAGTGAAATCTCCAACTTTAAAAGTTCGAAACTTTTATTAGACCTGACATTCTGCATTTCTAAATATTAGAATTTGATCATCAGATGATAGTAGAATGCTTCAGTGGATTGGCATTGTCATATACAATAACAGAACTTATACAGATTACATTTTTGATGATACACAAATCACTGAATAATCAGTTACTTCAGTTAAAATGACTTTGCGAAAATCTACGAAACAATGCGACTATAAATGAAGCCAATAAAAGAGAGAGATTAGATAGCCAGGTGATTTATTTTTGACAAATGAAAGCTGTCTGTCATCTTTTCGAAAATATAATAGCAGTTATTTGGTTCACTATTTAAAATTTTTACTATCTTTGTTGCAAATATGTTTAAACCTCAATAAAACTGACCTATCCAATGATCAATGGTTAAAATTTTTTTAGACAATTTTCTACATAAATTTAGCATTTTTTAGACAAATTCTCTAAAATCCATGATAAAGAAATCATGTACTTTCTCAAAGATTGGTGTGCAATTCTCCATGAATAAATTTTAAATATTTCACTTAAAATTATTCCGTTTTCGTTAAAATTGATGAAAAAAATTAATAAAAAAGATTATGGAAATAAAACTAAGGAAATTTTTATATGAACAAAGAAGTGGGTTGTTTACTCATTATTGCATCGGTTATCATATCAATAACTTAACTTGTTAGTTAAAGAGTTGTATTTGCTCAAAATTTCATCAAATTCCTTTTGTTCAAAATTCTATTAAAACTTCTTTTCCTTTTCCCCTTAGAAACTAACTCGAAAATTCCTTTAAAATTCACTTCAATATTTTGTAAAATCATTCCAAATAATTGGCACTCATCGCCACGTTGCACATTTATAATCAAATCAATTAATCAATTTGGTGTTTAACTTATCATAAGTACCACCATATAGTTTATAAATGATAATCGCAATCAATGATAACGATAATTAAATTCAATAGCCAAACTGGCTAATATATAATATCACATTTTATTCCATTACATCTTTAATATTCGGAATTAAATAATTTGATGGCTTTATTTCTAATCCTAAGAGATTCGGAAGAGGTTACTGAGCATAAAAAGAATTATTTCAGTTACTATCTAATTAAGGAAATGAATTCTCGTAACTCAAGGATGAAAATGATCATTTTTTAAGGTTATGAAATGTGGCGCAAATTAGTTTAAAAACCAAACAGCAGTCATTACCTACATCATTTTATAATAGATTGTTCTTTGATTAAAATTTTGCTATTTAATTAAGTAGATATATTAAGCATCCCAATTTGAAAATATTTTTTGGATTTGGATAAATTGATTGTTTGGAGAGATTCAGCAAGTAAATTCTTGTAAATCTGTAAAGATTATATTTCCGTAGCGTTGTAGCAATGGAAATTGCTTTTGTCCCATTTTTAATTTCTATTTAAATCCACTTAACAACAAATTAATCCAGTGCAGAGAGCTTTAAGCATTGTTATTTAAAATATTCGACTTTTGGCTTTGATGTTATCGGTAACTGATGGGTCTAAAAGGAAAAGGAAGAAGAACAATGTAGCTTATACTTTCAATGAATTTTTACGGAATAGTAGCTTGGAAGAGTAATACACTAAGACGATTGAACTATCTCTCTTAAGCTTTAATTCCATAGGATTACGTCAACTGTTTTAGGTGCCATCTTGCAATAACCGATTGTGGGATATTAGATATCAGAGGCTACCTACCATATATGTATTTCCTTCTTTACAACATCTTTTTAAAAATAGATCCCTTTTTAAAAAGTAAAGTAAAATATCTTAAGGTAAATGTTTTAGAATGAATAGAAATGATTTACTACCAGTAATAAATTTGCATCATCTAAGTCTAGTCCAAAGTTTCTTGATAGTTCCATCTCAAATTCTAATTTATGTGCAAATTTTTGCCTTTTTTCTTCTATTTTTCTAAACTTTCACTTTTTTCCATCAGATTTTCTCACTCATCACAAAAAAAAAATAGCATTAGAATAATTAATGATACCCGATTATGCAAATTTTTATGATTTCTACAGAATGATTCGCCATTCTTTTGTTAGTGTTAGTTTTTGCTATGTCAAATGCTTACTTTACCTTTGTCTTTTGTTCAATTCAAGTATCACTATGTTTATTCTCTTTAATATTCTATTAAATCATTTATCAACATCTCTGTCCATCTATTCCAACAGTAATAGACTATCAGTCGGCTTATCAACATTATGCAGTAGTCACCGGTTAATTTGCATATTCTGTTGCACTACTCAGGAAAGAGTGCATGATCATACTGAATTGCTAACTAACTTGTCTGTCAACAGACTTAACACTTACCTTTTCCATTGGTATCATGCACTCTTCAACTTGCTTGTCCTTTCATTAGTTCCTTCATCAGCACTCCTACCTTAATTCACTTGTAAGTTTTAGCTCTTTTGCTTTCGTCTTTTGCTTCACATTGCTAATACACAAGTGATCAACTGATTGTCGTCTTACCATCAATTCATGCAAGTCTGTATTCCTTCAGTTAGTTATCAAAATTTCAGAATAATTTCACTCCAGTATTTTGGATGATTACATCTTAAAATAATGGCAAAGTCTGTGAGGACAAATGGTCGAGCTTTGTGGATTGAAGAATTTATGGAAGATGACATCTGTCATCAAGTGAGTTCAAGATATACAAGTTCGATTTTTTTGAAATTCAGCAATAAAGTCAAAATTATCTATTACATGATTATTCCATAATTGTAGCGGTTGTTTTCCAACTGTCGAAATTATCATCGTTTTACTGTTTGCAAGGTATTGAAATTAGTAAAATTATCGGGGTGCATTTGTTGCTACACATTAACAAAAGAGTGTGTAAAGAAATTTGATACAGAACAAATCTTTTTAAATCTATATGCTAACTTGTTTTTCAAGCTTGCTATTTTTTAAAGACAATAGCAACCGGGAATATGATTTACTGTTTGAATAGTAGTTCTTATCATTTTAAGGACTATCAATATTTTTCGATGAATCTATGCATAGAAAAGTTAGGTTGCTTGAATTGCAATTCGGATAATCACGAAACTATTGATTGTATTCTACCTTCACGCTTTATTTTTAAACATGGAAATAAAGAATACCCAAGAAAAATGGGTATGTTCAACATGATTCATTCTCATCCAAAATACAACCTTTTTTTTACTGCTATGATATACTTTAGCGTGAATGATAAGAAAATACCTTGTAACAGTGAAAGAAAAGTGATTAGAGATGTTTTCAGGAATTTCACAATAGAAATTGACTTATAGAAGTACTTCAAAAAAATTTAGGCGACACGGAAAAATAGTACTGCTCACTGCTAGCAAGAATTAAGACATGGCGGTGTAATAATAATGTCTGGCTGGTTTTGACCCTCCAACAGGTGGATTGAAAAAATGATTAGAAGAATGGGACAATAAGATCACTTCGTATAGTTTTGCTCTGTTTATCTTATTTATTGAACTGTAAGAAACTTTTAAGATTTTTCCGCAACTATTATTTTACAATAAGCGAACTATACAAATTATGCAAACTAAGAAGAGCCACTGAATTGATTATGTTATATGTTTGTTTATAGTGCTATTGAAATTACGTTGTAATACCATTTCGAATCCACATTATATGTTACCCTGCGACTATCCCGTGAAAGGTACCGTTCTACACGTGGACCGAAAACAGAACTGTTTGTATGTAAGACCACAAAACCTTGATGGGATATACAGTGCACTGGAAAATTTTCTACTTGACATTAGAAAAGTAATGCTATGTACAGCAACATCAAATAAAATTAACATCGGTGAGCAATTTTGTGTTTTTAAAAATTTTTGAATCTAATGTAATTTTAGCATTTCAGTCATTTTATTGAAATTAATTTAGAAAATTTTAATGAATTCCAAATTATAAGAAATTCTATTTTTGAACTTTCAGCGAAAAAATATTCGATTCCCTCACTTATATATGTCTAGCTAACTGCGTGTTTAAATTATCAATAAAATGCAAGAGCATACTATTAAGTAATCTTGTTGTTCTTTGAAAAAATTTTGTTGATTGTTTAATTTCCCTTTTTCCCCCTCAAATTTTGGTAGCTTTTTCAAGTTCAAATGGCTCTTTTGATTTCTTGGACGATTTCTGGACTATTAAATGTTGAGTGAGCCAAAAGAGACAAATATCAGAAGTATGACAAAAAGTTTTTTTTTAAGGAGATGTTTACTTAATACGTCGACAAGATAGTGATGCTTTGGCTCGTGGTGTATGCGCTCATATGTATTTTAACTGGCAGATGGCTACACAGTGGCAGGTTAATGCTGTTTTTTTTAACTTTTATTCCTAAAACTTTGGAAATTTAAGAAACATGCAAATCTATCTATGACTTACATCAAAACGAACAGATTTGAACTGCGAAACAATACATTTTATTCAGTTGTGTTATTACCGAAGAACTGTAAGCTTTCAACATGCTTGAATAATAGATCTTATTTTCTTGTGTTTTGATTATCTCTCGAAGAAATTTTAGTAATTCTATTTCTTACTGGTTCTCCAATCGTTTAATATTTTTGCTTGCCTCCTTCTACCATGGTTCCTCCATATTGTCCCCTTCAGTGTAGTATGCCTTATTACTTTCATCTAATCTTTACCGTTTCTTTCATTTATGAGTAGCATTTATTTTGGAAATCAATAATTCCATGGATCTACTTGAATCGACGGGTAGATAGCAATGTTGAATTTTCAGGATAAGTTAATACGAAAAGAGTATAAAGTGATCCGTTAAGAAATCAGCTTGCTTAGTACTTGCCATTTTAAGATGTATCTAATCGATATTGGACAAACCGAATTTGTTGATCAGCGTTCAATTTACTTATTGCCTGCACAACTTCATTCGATGCCACCAATGGCAATACCTTTAGTATTGGCAAATTGTCGCATTGGTTATGAAAGTTTGGTTAGCTGTAACATGGATCACTTCTCAATGCTAAATATTGGTTCCACATGCATATTTGCATTATCATCTTCTTATCAAGATAAGTTCCTCTTCTAAGATTTCTAAGTGATATCGTTTAAAAGTCATCTACTGCAAACTGTAAAAATGCGCGAAATGTTAGTTTTATTTTCTCCTGAGAAATCAATTTTTGGGATGACAGTTAGATAGAAAAACAACTTAAAACAAACTATTAAAGAAAAATCTCATAATTTGATTGCGATTAATTTTGATTATGACTGCCACAGTTCGTTTAATTTTGATTATGATAATTACCAGACAATTATTTGATAAGGATCTATATTTGATATTGCATTTGATAACTGATTTAGGTCAATCTTTATCACTATCAAAGGATGGCTATTACCCAAGTTTTGTGAATTCGCCATATCCACTACCTCTTTTAGCTCGAGTTTTTGGTGGAATATCAGTACGTGATGAAATATTTTGCAAATGGGTAATACACTCTTTTATATGCAAATTAATGAGCAGGACAGAACAGACTTTTCAGTTAGAAGAGCGAGAAGCGAAGTGTCACTGATGACAATAAGATTGAGTTCAACAAAAATCTACTGCTAGTGTCTTGATCATATTAAATAAAACATCGGTTTTTAGCATACTAATAATGAGTAATGTATTAATAATAGAACTATTACATTGAGTATTTGAAATAGTGGGGAAACTCTTGTATTTCAACAATATTTTGCAAGGCAACAAAATTAAAAAAAAACCAAATCAGATTTTTTCATATCAATCAATTAGTAACTTTATTGATCAGACGATGAAAACTAAGTGATGGATTACAATTAATAAGTTGATAACTAAAGTTGATTGTTGATAAGGATGTTTTAAATATAAGTAAATACTATTTCTAATCATATACGAATTCTTCCGAAACAAAATTTATTCTGTTGATAACTCAATGAGTAAATGATATGAAATGGAACGGTTTCCAATGATTAATATTAGAAGATATTCCAAAAACTTATTCATGACTCTCTTTTTTTATTTGTTGTCCAGCTATACCAAAGATTCCGCGAATGCATTTATCACTAAAAATCTTCTGTCTTGCAGGGCTTACCAGAAGTTTCTTCTGTCAATCAACCTGTCTGTCCACTATATTGTCCGTCAACGTTTTCATTCAACAGGTTTACTCTGGGATATTCATTACCGGTTACACTGACTGTACGAGTCACCGAAAAGATCACCCAAGGTTATTATTGGCTTCGTGATGCTTCTGCTTGTTCCATCATTAGCAAGGTTGTTTTTATCTAAATTCAAAAAAAAAAAAAATTTTTAGATATTCATAAGGCTAACAATCGTTTATACATATCAGAAATACTGGCAATTTTCAAATATTTAACACAAGGTCCTTTATTACGAGAGAAATGACATTGAAGAATGTGCGAGTGTCATTTTCACTTTCAAGTAAAACCTGGAAATTAGCTATTTATTTGTAACTCAAGCTTCAAAAATTTCATAGGATATTTCATTTATTTTTTTAAATTTTAGAACCAATAATTCAATCTGCATTATATATTCTATTAAACTTGTTTGAGTAACTTATATGAACTTGAATTCGTACACAAAGATTTCGAAAAGCGAATATAGGCATTTACTTAAATTTACAGAAGCTTTTCTGTATATCTCACTCGTCAAAGGATTGCCAGCGTCAGTTTTCAGAGATTGTCAGCTTATCAAATCCTCTTCATTTAGCCTTTCTGGTGCCTTGTCAAATTGAGGACAGCTATGCATATCAACGGTGTCTCAATGCTATCTTACCTTGTTTTCTAGCTGCTCAGCAATGCAATAATTGAGAAAATCTTATTTTAATTTTCCTAGGTCAATGTCAACAAAATAATAGTCATACTTTAAGCAAATAGTATTACCATCCAACGGTTTATGGCCATACATTGAAGACAAGCGTTCACTGGCCTGCATCGCACATATTCAGCGTCCAGTACACAAACAGCCTCGTTATTACCGGTTGGTCAAATTATAAGGAAGATCAGAAAAAGGAAAATAACTTGTTCCATTGCAAATTTTCCCTAATTCCAATCATATATCAGGAATAAATTTGTATTCGAAGTGTTAAAATCTTGTTTTTATACATCAAGATTTATTTTATGGAATGCTTTCAAAAAGTGCGCAAAATATTTTCATGATGAATTATTTGCTGTATTCATATTTATAATGGTTTGACCTTTTTACTTGTACAAAATTAATTTCATAGTACATTTGGAGGAGAACTTATTTGTATTCAACTACTTTTAAATATCTTCTTTTTGTACTACTCCGTATAGAGAACTGACTATTTCTTTAACTATTTGCGAAATAAATATGGCTGTTACAGAGCGGTAGCTAGCAATTTCGATAATCAGAAAAGTTGTTGTATGGTATTTTTGATTGATTATGGTCAGACATTATATTGCGATGTTCATCATCTCTTCGATCTTTCCGATCAGGTAAGAACTTGTATTTCCAGAAGCTGCAAAATACTGCCAAGAACAAGTTAATTTAACGAGTAATAAATTCTTGTTCCAGCCTCCGACAGTTTTGTATACATTGGCTGCAGCATTTAAATGCAGCGTAAACCGAAGAAATCAAATTGAAGATGGAATTCATGCTGCAAAGGTCACACTTTTTTCTTCTTTTGCAAAATTGTTTTTGTTTGGAATAAAAATTATTATTATTCCATTTCTTGATTTGCAATTGTTTTAAGGATTAATACATATTTAAGTAGAGCTGATGATTAGTTCAGAGCAGCAAATTACTTACAACAGGTATTAGATAATTTAAAAAGAAAAAAATGTAATGGATTAATTTAGTGAATCTTTGGAATGCAATAAGTTAACAAGGCGTGATTGTGTGTAGATGAGCTTCAAAGAAGAAATATTGCAATGCGGCTTATTTGTTTTTTATTTACGACGTAATAATTAGGTTAATTAGTTTTAAAATCATAAGAACTATTATTAAGAAAGATTTAGAATTAGAAAGATACCGACATGATGGCGAACTGTAACATCATTCAGCAATTGTTTACTATTGAGTACTAATACTAAAATAGTTGTTTGCTTGAAACGATACTAATTATTATAGCTTGCGATGGATGAACGATACATTATCCAAGTAATTGGCAAAAAGGATGAGACAACCTATGTTGCAACTGTTGACATGCACATCCAGGCTGATTTTCAATACCCAAGACCTTTGGATGTCTCAAATGGAATGCTTGTTAATAATTCGCAACTTTTAATGTTAGGTTACAACGACCAAATCAATCAAGCTAACGAAATTCCGGATAATAATGTCAATATTAGTAATATCAATTATAATGGCAATGATAATAATTCAATGAAGATAAGAACAATGTTTCCGGCAATCAGTATGCAATTGTCATCCAATCGGTTGGTCCTTTTTTTTTTTTCTTTTTCATTGGAATTATAATTAGATTTCCATTTTTTCAACGAGTATAAAAGCAAATGTTTTTGACAACTAAATAAATTAATGATTGTATAGAGAATATCCGCATAATTGTCCAGCACTCATTTTGCATGTATATTGATTTTTATGGAATTTAACAATAATTAACACATTTTTAAGGAAAATTTTTTTCAAGAAAAAATGACACGGATCAGTGCATTACAATCATGCTTAAATGAAGTATGTACGACACAATAAATATAGTACAAAGAAGTGTTAAAACCTTAAATGAAATCGTTTCAGAGAAATCGGAAACAGTTTGAAAGCATTAGATGCAAAGTTAAGTATTAAATTAGCACAAATATCTAATCGGATCGATGAAATATTCAACAATCTCCGTAGCTTACAGGTAAATAGAATGTTAGACACATAAGGCTTCAGAATATCAGTTAATCCGATATTAATGTATCAGAAGCGTTTGTAGAAAAAATGCGATATTCGCAGCAAACTTACTTTTTTCACTAGTATGCTAAATCTACTAATTAAGTTCTTGTATTGCCTTGGTATCAATAATTATTCAGTTTTAATTACTATTTTATACATTTTTACAAATGTATCTATGTCAAAATGACATTAATTTCAGCTAACTAATAGTACCTCAAATTTGTTTCCATTCCCGCAAATGTATCAATACAGTAACGTACAAGGAGTATCGAACAATGGAATACGTCAAAATCAAGCATCTTCATTTTCTGTTGGCGGTGGAAACGATGTACTTTTCTATGGCACCAATTGTCAGTCGTCATTACTTGGGCAAACACCTTTACCAAGGTACCAGTCAAATATGTGTTAAAAAGTTAAATTAGAATTATTTTAATTTTACTATTCTTAGATGTTAAATAGAAGTTATATATCAGAAACAAAAGTTTGTAATTTCATTTCATTTTCTGATGAATTCATTTTTACAATTAGTAGTTAGTAGTAATATGTGATTAAAACAAAAAAAAAAAAAAAATGATTTTATGCTCACTCATCTTAGATGTCAAACAGTTATGTATCCTCAACAGTACAAACAACAAAAACCAAATATCGTTGTACCAAGCGGTCGTAACTATTTCCGCTGCATTGAAAATGACAGGTGCGCACTTGTAAAGCATCCATCTCAATCCCATCATCAACCTCACACCTATACAAATCATATCAGTCAACAAGGTTTGTTCATTTACATTTTTTTCTTCTAACTGTCGAATTGAACAGATTGATAATTTTGAGTCTTATTAACCGAATCACTAAATGGATTTATTTCATAGACTGAAATGAAAAGTTTATCTTTAAGAGGACGGACTAAGTCTGATCAGCTCCTTCTTTAGGAAAGATGCACTTAATTTATCAGCGACGACCACGTAGCATCAAAGGTACTGTACTAAGCAGTTTGTGAATCTGTTGTAGGAGAACGTAGGAGGATTGACTCATCGAATGACTTCATCGTTGATCTCATCGGTCTCACGAAATATTAACAACTTATTTTGTACACTTATTCCGACTTTGTGTTGATGTTGCAGTCCAAAGGCATGCAATCGATTATACCCAACAATTTCATCAACTACCACGTCAACCACGTGTAATAATACCAGGCTGCACAATATGTTCACAACAACGTGATCTTGAGAATCAAACTTCACGATCGTGCTGTTTTTGTGGTGCTTACGTGGAAACTAGGCGACGTTGTTTCACCAGCTCAAATGACGCTTCCATCCGATGTTCAACAATGCCACGTTTAAATGCCACACATTTGCAACCATTCACTTATGCATCTGCAAATGGTTTCCGTCGTGCTTCGACAGTTCCTGTCAATTCCTCATCTACGATCCATTCATTGTGCAAGGTAATCTCCAGGACTGTTAAAATTGATTAATATTCTCCTAAAATTCATTCTTTTAAGAAATTTCAGTGGTTCAGAGGCAGAATTTTTTCCAATTTGGTTACAGTTTTTAAAAAACAGTCAACAGTCCTTCGATTTACACAATCATCTGTTTTCACATTATTTTTAAGTGTAATCTCGAAAATCCTTCTAACACTTTACTGATAATTAGAACTTCTGATAATTGAATGATTGTAATTTAGCAGAATTTCAATACACCTTCGAACGCGGACAGCCAACTATCATCACGATCTACTTCATCTGATGATGGTGAGTTCACAAATCACGAATTAACAGAAAGCAAGAAGTTGCGTGACAAGAAAGTGATTGGGGCTAGGAAAGAACAAGCAGTTATTGAGGATAGCCTTACCACTGGTATTGGTACTATGCGAAGGAATTGGCAAATGAAAGAAGTCAAAGAATTTGAGGCTATAAATAATTCTCAAGGTAAACTACTAATTATTTATCGTTTTCTAGAAATCTTTAAGATGAACTATCGGAACAATTGCAACAATGGAATAACCTTGCAGATCTAATTATCCTTACAGTGTTCTTTGTCTACCAATGTAATACTTTTTTCTGCCATTTTTTTTTTTTTCAATATTCTAATAGAGAGAAAATGTAGCTGTTATGAGTGATACAAATAATGTGTATCATGATTTAGTATAGTATGATAAACAGCTAGCATTCATTAAAAATAATTATCCAGCATTTTCAAGAAATCATTAAGATGAATTAACGGATAAATCAATGAATTGATTCAATATTCTAATATAATACCTTAATTATGATAGTGTAAAAACTCACTTTCCTCTTCATTCAGATTTCCAGTTTCTGAACAAAAATTATGCGGAAGGCCAGTTATCGTCACCATTTTTCGAGAAGTCCGCTGAACCTGCTAGAACTACATGCTTCACAGTTAGTTGTCACCATAATTCTATCTTTTCGTTTATTTAAATGATATCAGAATTTTGTATTCATGAGACTTCTTGAAACTGTCCTTTTAAATCAGTTTAAATACTGTTTCAGAACTACTCATCCAAGTTATAGCTGCATTGTTTGCTTTACAGTTTATTTAAAAGTTCTGCACTAAATCTTATATTTTTTGCCTTTTTTTTATTGACCAACCGTTTTTATTAATATTTCCTCCGATTGAATTTTAGAAGAATTCGTGGTGTATAATTATTTGAATAAATTTTGTTCAAAATTTTCAGAAAGAACTTGAAATGTTGACAAATCGGAGGTCGAATTCAACATTCTCTTTAGTCCAAGGTATATGGGACATTGTTCCACCTTCTTTTTGAATTATAGCGAATTCATTTGTTCAGTCTATCCATTTATTCCTGCTGCATTCAGATCAAGTTCTTCTAATTTAGATAAACATAAATCACTTCTAGTATTTCCTAGTAATTATTTAATAAGATTGATTTATTTTCATGCTACATTAACGCATTCTTTTCACCATACTATGTTATTTCAGAGGTTAATAGCCAAGTGAGAAATAATTCTGATAATGTTACACTCAGCGAGACGTCCCGTGAAGCGCAAAATCAAGTATTGTCAATGTTCATTTCGCATATTTTTTTTTTTTTTTTGTGGATTCAAATTTACTTTTAGAAGCTTACTATACAGTTTTTAGAACATAGCTGAGTCATGCTGGATTTGTGGAAAAGTTGGTCATCTGACAAGATATTGCCAGTCAACATTGCCAACTGTTTTGCTTTTAGCTCAAGAAATGAAACAGGAAAAGGTGTGCAATAATTTCGATTTTTTTATGCCGGGAATTTGAAATAACTCAAATTACCCCACTCTCAGAATGAGCAGGTATTGACAAAGTGAAACCATTTTCTTTGAGGCCAATTATCAGAATAGGTCCAGTTCAGTTCTGATAAAATAGGCAAAGAAATTGTTGTCAAAAAAAGATGGCACTTACTAGGCGAATAAAAAACACGGTTACAATATAAATGTAACCGTGTTTTCTGTTCCTGGTAAGTGTGGCAGAAAATCAGTTCCCTTATAGCAAAAGAAAGCAGTTGATAAACCACGTGACGAAAAAGGTAGGATGCTTTATACGAGTGATGAATCCTCTAACGATGAACTGGATTATGATAGTGATTCTGATAAGGACAATAAACAGGTGATCTATATTTAAAATTAAGTTTTTTATATGAATACTTATAATTTGATGAGATAGTGAAGTTTTCAAGTATAGTTTAGTGATAAGCTCTTCAAGTATCCATAGTAGTTTATACGAGTGATGAATCCTGTAAGCAAAGATATTGGAGAAGGATGCTAAATCCGCACAATTCTAGTATAAATTCAATTCCAAAAACTTTTTAAATTTAGGTGAAAAATAGTTCAAGTTTGGATCATGATATTAAATTATTATCGGACGATGATGAAAAAGACGAATTCGAAATTACATTGAAATATAAGGTACTTAAAGATTAATTCTTCTGAAAAATGTTATATTAAAACTACACCAGACATTATTGCGGAAAAACTCAAAAGTTGAAAATGGAAGATTTCACAAATTAGTTCAATTTTAAACTTTAGTGAATAGTTTCTGATATGTTTCTGCATGAATACTATTTATTATGTAGTTGTTGAACTGTTGATGAAAGAGATAATTTCAGCCTTACTTTGCTCATATGAATGTGGAATTTGGGCAGAAATACGTGGTTTTTCGATCGGATGAAGATATAGCATGTTTATTATGGCCATTATTTTTCGTACAGATACAGTCAGATGAATGTGAGCAAACATTAGAAGAGCATTTGGATTCATTAGATGCCAATATTCCACTTGCTAATGCGGAAATGGTAATAGAAATTGCTTACTTGAATGAAATATTTGATATATCTGGAATGAAAATATGAGACACAAATTTATTTATCCTGCTAGTATACCTGATTGCAGAATGAACTGAGATACTTTTGTTTCTCATTCTTTCTTTCAAGTTTGTCATTGCATCGTTTCAACGTTAGCATCATTTAGCGTATATTTAATTTGAGTAACGTAGTTATAAGAAGAAAATCGCTTACTAGGTTATCTGGTAAGTATGATTCATTGTAAATTAATCAAAAATTGCTCATTCCATATTTTTCGATTTTTTATATAGGTCGTTGGTACCTTGTGTGTCGCATATTGTGAACGTTTCGATGCTAAATTTCGTGCAGTAATAACGGCACTATGTTCAAATCTTGTTGAAGTATTTTACATTGATTATGGTAATTACGAATGGGTTGAACATAATACACTGTCGTCAATTGCTGATCAGGTATCAGTTATACATCTTTTTTTCGAATCACATAACAATGCTTTCTTTCCTCAATATTTTCCTTTCATGGATACAAATTTTTTAAATTTCTGTGACACAAATCTTTAAGTAATTTAGCATTTTAAAAGTTTGAAACTGTTGATAGTCCATGCAGTGAATTAAACATTATGAAAGAAAACGCTCTTACTTATAGCAAATATTTAAGTAAAACCTAAAAATGAGATGCCTAATTTAAGAATTTCTTATTTATTGAAAGTTTCAGGATAAAACAACAGTTACTCATCCAGGAATGGCTATTCCATGTATTCTAAATTCTTATGATGAGAAGGAAATATTTTCTCGTTTATCGAAGAGCGATATTATTAAAATGAAATTAGCGGTTGGCTGTGGTCAGCGAAGTTTTCTTCTCAATTTCCGGAAACGACGTCCGGATGGTGTATGCGTTGTAGAACTAGAGGGTGGAGCAAAAATGGATTGAAATTTTCTGTTAATTTTAGGGAAAGGTACTTTGTATTAATTTTTATTTGTGTGATGTTTTGTTCTGTTCTGACTAATGTTATTTCTATCCATGAGTTTCCTTCCATTCAGTTATAGCTAAACAGTTGTGAAATTTTAAACATCATTTCCCTTTTTAAGACTATATGATTTCCTGTTTGATGAAAAACGATACGATCTGAAGTCTTCATTGAATATTTCAGGACAATCCAATTTTTTCCTTTTTTCAGCAACAAATAACATTATATTAGATCTAAAGCCAATTAAATATTGAGTTTTATATGTAATATATTATATTTCCCAACATTTTCAGCAGATTTTCGAATATTCCTGTGGAAACAGTTATCATTCTGGAATGAACTTTGAACAAAAAATTCAATTCTTTATCTTTTCAATTTTCGTTTTTTTCTCACTTTAATAATTAAAGATTTGAATAATTTGCTTCCTATCCACTTTTGAAAATACAGTTCATAATTCATTTCTTTTAAGGAAGTGATATAGAAACCCATTACATTATTGCATATTAAATTGGTTTTTTCTGCTCAGAAAAAAAAAATCAGATTGTTTTTATGATAGGTAACAAAATTTACGTTTCATTTATATTGTATCGAAATAACCATGCATTTCGTCAGTTATATTTTGCGTAATTTTTCTGCTTATTATTTTTGAATTCTCACTTAATTCGTCAATTATTAATTTATTATAACCCTCTTCAGTTTAAATTTCAATAAATTGGCAAAACCCTTACAGCTTCATTTGCGGTACTTAATTTATGGTAGCAACCTTCTCCTCACGCTTTCGTTGATGATGAAAAATTCCAAGTTTTGAAACCATAATAGGTGATTTTGTATCATATCATTCACTGATCAAAGTTGACTTCTGAGCAACTTTTTGCTCAGAAGTCAAATGAACGGAAATGAAAAAATATGATTAATTGATTAATTAATTATATTAAACAGTATGACTAATTTTTACTTAGTGTTTCCTGTTTTATTGCTAAATCAAATGAAAATTCTGAAATATTCTTATGTAAGTGCTTTAATTCTCATATATCATCACTTCTCCTTTATACTTGTATTTCGTTCACAAAATTTTGTAAATGGTAATTCATTGTGTTTGGAAAATATATTATTGTTTTATTTTATTAGTATTGCACAGGCCTGAGAATTTATGGAAATTGAACAGTACTGCACGATATTAACGCGTGAAGTTTAAAAAACTCTGAAAATAGTGTTGAAAATGTTTAAGAAATAATTTTCTTCAGAACTAAGAGAAACTTTAAAAACCATTTCTTTAAAACGTTTTGGAATTTCTCAAATATAGGAAGTTAGCTATAGGATTTACAAGTAAAGTGAGGAAATAATTCAAATTAAGCTCAAAGAGAGGTGAGCAAAAGGTTAGAGAAAAATAGAAGAAGGCAATGATTGTTTTAGTTCGTTTCTGTACAGTGAAAGATTTTACAATAATTGTACGTAATTACGATGCGTCAATATTTACTTAGGCAGCAAATGTGATATTGAAGTAAAAAGAGCTTTAGAGACCAATTTCAGCCTTTTTTTATTACAAATTTAAGTTGCTAGTAGTAATCATGTTTTAAGATCTGCTATGAAAGAGATCGGTAGTTTGCCACTTGCTCTATCTTGATCTAAAATATGATCATCCTGTAATGCATCTTTCTTCCACTTCACTGAGCTAAGACCTGATCCAGTTCCCCATCCTCTGATAAAAAGAAAAGAGTCCATAGTTCCGGTGATACAAAGATTAACACTTCAAGTTACTACTGAATTAGAAACCCGGAAGCGTATGTTTTATAGATGAAGACATTACAACGGCTATAGCCAACAACATATAGATATGCCTCAGCACTCATGCAAATATTGTGGTAACACAATAGCGGCACTTCAAACGGATAAGGTAACATCAATTACATATTCAGATGTCTTTAATGCAAATAAGAATTATCTATGGATAAAATATTTGCAAAATTCGAAATAAGCACTAAGTATAATCATAAATAAGTACTACTAGGGATAGGTGGTAGCAATTAGTAGAATTACTGACTAGTGATAGCTGTCGATGTGGAGGAGGACAGAGTAAATAAGGGTGTTGTAACGGAAGGTTGTTGTTGTGATAGTAAAGGCGTTACGGAAGGTGTCGGTGGAAGAGGTTGAAGAGGTTGTGATTGTTGTCGCGGCTGAGAATTATGTAAAACAGTAGCCGGAGATGAGATTATCGTCTGTGGCGTGGATAAAATAGTAGGAGAAAGGACTAGCACTCGAAGTCGGTCTACTTCTGCTCGTAAATGTTCTACTTCCAGCCGTAAACGGATATTTTCTTGCTCAAGCATCGCTGCCCGAAGTGTCATTTCATCTTCCTAGATGAATCTTATTCATTAATCTTAATCGAGTTGCTTATGGAACGGAAGTGTCACGGAAATGATGGAAATGGGAAAGATTTAAAAAATTGAAACATCATACAAAAATTGGTATCTGTTTGCCAGATGGCACATATTTAGTATTTCCATCAACTGACATTAGTAACAGTTATACCTGTTATTGGTATCTTCCCTTACAGCTTTTTTTATTGCCCTTATCTGAAAACCATTCCAACTTTCTGACCTGACTTGAGTTTTCAGTCGACAAGTTGCAGAATTTCATGAAATTACACAAAAAATACATTTCATCTAGGAATTGTCAAAGTTTTGCAGAACTCAAAATTTTCTTTAAATCAAACCTTTTGTCGCCTAGAATCTCGACTTCTTTTAGCGGCATCATTATTTTTCCTACGTCGTTCCCAATATGCTTCATCTTTGACCAATTCTTTTTTCTTTCGAACTGTTTCATTACGAACAATTACTTTGCGTTGTGTAGATATCACATCGATATCAGAAGTTGATGACGTGACCTGTAATGCAAATTTTTATCCGTCACTTTAATCTATATAGAATCTGTTTTGAAATGAAAGATTAGGTAAGTGAAGACAACGTCTGTATATTCTTCAAAACAGTCTATCTGATTCACTGTTCATCAGAAATCATGCACTAATACGCACTATCTGTGAAATGCTTGGTAATTTTCTCGAATTCTTGTTTTATGGAAAATAAACGCTCGTCGACAAACCATAAAATAAATTCGAAACTTTCAAAAGTTTTGTTCCTAAAATTTTCACCATTGAAAATAGGATAAATAAGGTTCAACGAGGGTAAGAAAAGGTGAGAGAAAAAAGAGAGAAAGAGAAAGGGAAAAAGTAAAAAAAATTAATTTTTAAATGTGAACATTTCATTAATTGAAAAGAACAAGCCACATCCAAATATTTTTTCAACTGATTTGAATCATAATAAACATAATCAGGATTGTATCATTTAGATGGAAATTGAATGACGAAGTCATTAATCGTTGCAGAAAATTAAGACTAATTTTGAAGTGAAAATAGATGAGGATGAATGAGGGAGAGAATGTTTGAATGAAATAATTTTGGGATGAATGATAGATGACAAGGATTGACCTACTGACACAAATATGCACAATTTGGTTTCGGAACTCATACAATGAGGCTTTGGAACTCCGACTTAAATTTTGGAGTTTACGAAACAATGTAAAATAAATTCAACTCAATCTTTTTTTATTCTTGATTGATCTTTATTCTGCTCAATCTTTTATTCTTAATGACAGATGATTTAAATTCGAAGATTTTTGATGATCAAGCTTCAAAAGTTTAGGTTCCGAGCATTTGTTAAAATACGCAAATATGTTTTTCTACAGTAAAGAACTTTATAACTATAATTAGCCAAGCAAACACTGATAAACCATTGAGGCTTATAAAAATATTACCAGTGTATAGAAAAGGAATAATTTTTTGTTCCTATTTAAGGACTAATCACATATCGATTGTTAGACTTCTTCAAGTTAAAGATGCAACCACAGAAAAATTTTGTTGAAGAAAAATTTAATGTCTTCCATGAATGGAGAAAATCTGAAAAGATTAATAACAGCAATAATTAATCTTAATGGAAGATTGAATACATCAGAAGGGGGTGAAAAAGGACAACAGATGGATAGGCCTTAGAACGATTGGAAATTTTTAAAACTGATTTAATGTTGCTAAATTGAAAAAGAACAAAAGGAAAAAAAAATGGTTAATACGAAACAAAGATATTTACAAGACAAATGGTGCAAGCATTGACACTGTAATTTATGGTTCAAGTTGAAATTTGAAGTCAAGTTGGAGAATAAATCTAGAGAATTTTCTAATCAGACTGAACACCCATTTAGTTTCTAGCGCTGGATTTAATTTCAATCCGCACCTGGTTGACTTTATATGGATTTTAAGATGCTGATATTTAGTAAAATGTAATTTATCATTTTCGACCTGACCGCATAATATAAAGAATAATACAGACCTGCGTAGAGGGTGATTGTTCATTGATGGCTTTATCATTTTTCAAACGGTTAAAATCGGTTGTGGGTGGTACTGAAAGAACACTAATTGGATCGGTTGGATCGTAAATGTGAAATGGTCGTAAGGTAGGTAAGGCAGCGCCTGATGATATTTTTCCGGAAGATTGCTTGGTATCTTCTTGGAACATGTTGAGAATATTAGAGGGTACGAATGGATTGACTAGTGGACTCATCAAAGCTGTATGCGACAAATGTGGCATGGTACTGTATGTCGATAGGTCGTATGGCAGGAAACTCTGGAAATTGGAGTTAAATTATAAGAAATTAACATTAAATAAGCTAAATCATAATTAAGCAATATTTTTGAAATGTTCATATTAAATAAAATGACATATGTGCATATGTAAAGAACTGAAAAGAAATAATTGTTAAGTTAGGATAAGAGCTTAAGCTAAGGAATAATAAATCATATGATAAGCTAGAATGAAGATTGTTGCCTAAACTATCATTCCGTTCGGACAAATAATCTTATCAAAAAGGCAAAAGGTTGACTTACTTTTCACATCTACAGCTCAGAAAAATTATTTGTCATAAAAGCTTAAGAAAATCCTAAGACTTTAACCTTGAGAAAAATCTGTCCAACCAAATATTTAACTCTTCTTTTTACACTTATTTTATGCTGTCAGTGAATGAAGCGAAAACTTTATTTTTTCGGGGAGCTTTTCAAGGAAAGGTTCATTAGATTATCTTGGATTTATAGTCTCAGTATACAATAACCTTTTATTGTACTAGTTTTATGAATGATTGTGTTGTCTTATCAGTGTTGCAAATTATTCTTTCAGAATTGCATAAGACTTTCATTGTCGATATGAAAAAAAATTCCAAAAGCTGATTCAAAAAAAAGTACCTAAAAAATTCAAAAAACGCCAATTCCCAGCAGAAAGAAATGAAACTTAAACGAATTGATTAGGCTAAAATCATTACACTCAGTACAATAATGCTTTATCAGTGTCTATTCAAAAACTTTTTTTTTCAATTTAACCAAACAAAACTTCCGATTAAGAAATATTGGGAGATTATGTTTCCTTAGGATCATTGGGAATGGAACATTATTGGATCTAAATCAATGGAGAAAGTGGTACCAAATATTACGAAAACGACTGAGTTTCTCTTTTCCTTATTTCCTTTTTAATATCATTTCATCCTATGAATTCCATTTGCTTTTATCCAACTAATTACTAAAGCGCATTGCATCTAACACGAAATTTTCGCTAGGAGTAACTTTGGCTATCGGTGCGAATAACAAGCATTATATTCCATTCGTTTTCATTTATTCATAATATGTGTTAAATGGAAAATAGGAATACTGAAATTGCTACAGTTGATAACTGGAATTGATAACTGAAAAATGTATGAAAAGGAAAGTGGGTTTGAGAATTTTGGATATTATTTTATAAAATTTACTGAATAATATTCAATTCTGATGTAAATATTTCAATGTGTCTATTTTGGAGAAAATTTCAACTGCCAGTAGTTGTTTGCTTTTATAATTTAGGTAATATTTTTTTAACATGATAAATGAGAAAGACATTATGATGATGGCTTGGCTTAACTTATAGAATCTGCAATGTTCTACAAAAAAAAAAAAAAAAAAAAAAAAGAATAATACTTTCAGTAATAAAATTTTAATTAATTAAATCAATATAAGCCATCCATAAATTTCCTACAGATTTTATTCACATAATATTTTTAGTATTTTAGAAGATGAGTCATTCGCTCTTCATCCAGAAATAGCTGATAACTATAACGAAATATTTTTTATATGCTAGACTTTCAGACATAGTGATATAGTATCCCTGGTATAGTCTGATATAATTATCAGTCTTGAATATGATCAATTCGATGTATGATTAGCTGTTTATACAGAATTCCATTTGGATGATTGTAACAGATGATATTTCGTCTTATCCGTAACATATGTCGTGAAAAAAGTGCTGATTGAATTATGAACGTTTGATTCGTTTGAAATGGAGAATATCAACAATTTGAAAATCAGTGAAAAGACTTTTGTCATGATTGCGTAGCGGGGGAAAGTGAAGGATATCCGTAGATGATAGATACACATACACGTACACATACCTTAATGGGAAAATGTGGCAGCGGGTGCGATAAGGACGTCATTGCTGGAATCGGTTCGACGCTTCGAAATGAAATGCAAAGTGAAAGGGAAAATATATTCGCAATTCGGTCACCTACTTCCCCAGATTTTCACTTTTATCTCTCCATCCATGCATCACCACATGCGTACACATACAGACATACATTTACATACATATTCATATGTATGTAGACCGACAGGTACAGGCCGATGAACCGATGATCGCTCTTTTCCGATCACTAATAAAACCCTACCATTGTAAGTTGTTGAATGTCCACTTTCAATTTCGTTGATCGCATAGCAGCAACCTAAGGTGACAGACAGTCTCTATACATTTGAGCCTCTTTCGAAGATCACTTAGTCATTTTTAGTGAAGCAAATACAAGAATTAGCTCCAATTTCAAATAACATTTTCATTGAAGTAGCAATTTTCAAATGGTACTACGAATTTTGCAAGAAAAAAATCCAAAATTAGTTTAGCATAATAAAACATAAGATTGACTACTAGTCATCACTGCAAATGAAAAAATAAAATTCGAAAAAAATAACTGTCACATCAATTTTTACTGAGAGGGAGTTTAAAAGAAACAAATACAAAAGTTAGTTTAAGCTGCATAATTTATGCCAAGAGATGCTTTATCCTTTATCATCTGCAATTAATTTATATTCAACTGCAGTAATATATTTGATCTAAGTAATTAAATACAACCGTACGAACAACCTTGCATATCATTTCTAGAATATTTTGAGAACTGAGCAAATATTATAGAAGAAAACATTTTATTCCTTCAATTATACCTTGATTATTACACATCACATCTTCTAACCTATTACCTATTACATCTTTGACCTGAAAAGTTCTGCATAAAAAATTAAATTCCTAATTAAATTACAGCAACATGTTTGCTGCTAAACGTTATCTTAAACGTGTTTGTGAAGCATATTAATGCCAAGCAATTATTTGAAGATTGGACTCTTTTAAATTTGTCATAGTCATTGTTAAAAGAATTTAAATTTGCTCAGCAACTTCCGCTACTTCGAAATTTCAGCAATTTAACATTTATGATTTATAGTATTTTTCTTGCATTCCTTCATATTCTTTGAACTGTATTGCATTTCGATTATTCACTTGTAAATTTGTTTATTTGTAAATTTAAAGACTCGATCCATTATGTAATGTAATGCTAACAATCCAATTTGCAGTAATTCATTTAATGAATGCAACTTATTACTTATTAATATAATTATTATACCGGACAATTAGCATTGCTATGTACTGAATTAGAATCACTTTTTGCTGGCAAACATCGCTTTCCTTTAGAAATTCAGCACTATTTGTGCTAATTTTAATTCCTATGTCTTCAATGCTTTATACTGAAGATCAAACCATTTCATCAACAATATAGAGACAGATTATCATATTAGCAGAAAGCTTATCAACTGAACATATGATCCCATGATGAAGATACCAACCATTGCGGAAAACTACATTGGCATCGTGCATAAAAATCATTCTGTGCTCAAAATGTTTCAAATTTCCATCTATCGCAATGTAAAATTGAATTCACTGAGAATTTTATGTAATGAATTTCAAAGTATTTAATTTAGCAGATGTATGCATCAATTTTAATAGCACTTTTTCCCCGAACCGAAAAAGTCAACATTTCTGTTTTGATTCATCGATGCTGCTATATGACACTGCTATTTGTTGATGTTTGAATAACAGCGCTACTGTTTTAAGATGTTTTGTTACCCCGAGGGGACTGAAATGAAATCACAAATCCGCATTGAAGTAGCATCATTGAATAAGGTTGAAAGTACCGAAAGACAATAAATGTGAGTGGAAAAGACGAAACTCCACATTACTCCTTGATACATGATTACAGAAAATTACCATTCCACCTGATAATTTTAATCTGGAAATCGGGTCACTGGGTCATCATAGTCGTCTCTCTCCTTCTCTCTCTTTCACTCTCACCATTTATGTTTCGCTGTGAAACTTCCTTTCGACCTGAAAATCACATCTCTTCCTCGTTCATTCTTCTCTCTGTCTAAATATTCCATCACTATAATTCAACTCCCGCATCTTCTTATATGCCACTAAGATCATTATTTACTAGAACTATGTCATGACAACAATCTTCTCAACTTTTGCACAATCAGTTGTTAGTTTGGAGAGAGGTGCGTACCACTATCACCACATTTTCTCGCTGTACACGCTAGTGCGTAACATATGACATACCATATCCAACGTCCTATTCATGCCTGATGGCCTAACAGGTACCCGTTACAACAACGTAACTATGCAATACCACACCCACATCAACAACCATTACATTCTGCTTTTTCTTCTGGAATTAAGGATGGCATATAACATGGCATTCGGCGCAGCGGGACTAATCCTTGCATTGAAATGTGCAAGAACATGATCAATATGGTAAAGAGTGTCAAATCTTAATGTTTCAGAATTCGTAACTCCAATATCTGCCATCTTTTGCTACATCATAAAATGTTCAAAGACAAACCATAAATCTAGGAAGACAGCGAATGAAATAATAGTGAATGTTACATGACATACTACTGCATGACAGCTATATTTAAGTCACTACATCTTATAGTTGATCCCACAACCTGCCATCTTCTATTCACTATTTAATAGTGATGATTTAGCAGGTAAGCCGTGACTAAAACTGAATTTCAGAATTCAAACTCCAGATAACAGACAGCTATACTTAATTTTCTTTTATCAGCAAGATTTTTTGCAAACTTCTTTTGTAGAAGTGTGTAGAAAAAAAAAATAACCTTTTTGATGACATTTGAAACTAATTTTTTTTTTTTATGAGGTGATGCTATCAATTTACGAGACTTATTTATTTTTCTGGATAACAATAAATGAATGAATTAAAAAAATAAATGATCGAACGAGTTGTACCAGTATTATATCAAACGTGTACCAAGTTTCACTTCTTGATGTTTCCTGTCTTCTCTTTCTTTAATTCGTAACCTGTTTTTCAATTTCCTTCTTTGTCGCTTTTCTCCCGGTATCGGGAGCATATTCCTTTTCTGCAAACTCTTCAAGCGTTCCGCCAAAACATTGCCCTG